CCTCTCTGTCTCTCTTCCCCTCTATCTCACTCTCTCTCTCTCTCTATCTCTCTCTCTGTTTCTCCCTCCCTCCGTGTGCCATCTCCCGCGGAACGTCTCCGTCGACGTCGGCTCTCGCAGTCGTCGTTGTCCCCGCGGTGTGCCCGCGTCCTCTGGTCAGCGCGCGATGTAAACAAATCGGAGTAGCAGCGAACCCCTCGGGGACCGTCGAAAATCTCCAACGGGAATCCCCGCGGCTCGTGTCCGACCGATTGATCGCCGTCGCACCCAGTGTGTGTTCGTCCCGCTCTTCCGGCGTGTGGTTTCCCAGTGTGCCGCGTGTTAGCAGTGTACCCGCTCTACGCGCCTTACCCGGTTCCGCGGGTAAACAAAGAATGTTGCGTCAAGGAGACTCGCGCGCGACGATCCCCGCTCCCCGCGTCGCGGAGACGGCTCCCTTGACACGCCGTTAACGCGATCGATCCTCCCGATTAGTCCCCGTTCGTTTCCTGATCGCGCTCCGTTACCCGGCTCCGCCGGGTGAATTTCGGTCCGCTCCGTTCGGGCTGCGTCGAACCCCGGGTGAATAGAGGTCGGCCGGAGAAGAGAGGTGCATTATCGGTGCAGGGAAGTGTGCAATACCCTCGTGCCTTTATCCTGTTCGGGTAAGCAGTGAGTCACTCGTCCCGCTGTGTTCGCGTACCACGAGCGGAGCGCGCGCTTCTGGATTAGCCGCTCCTCTCGTGCGGGTTCGACGGAACGGGATCGCACCGCGCCGGGTCGTATCGGTGCTCGTCGGCCCGTGCCCTGCCTGCTTGCCTGCTCGCCTGCCTGCCCCGTGTCTGCCCGCCTGCCTGCCCACGGCCGCGGTGCGATCGTCGCGCGAATCGACCGCGAAAAGAATGAGAGTGTTTTTCCGCGAGAGCTCCGCGTCGCCAACGGCGGGTCGTATTCACGGTATTACCGGTGGTTCTGGTGCGCGCGGGCCCGCTAGCCGCTACCTTTACGCAGGATTATTTTCGGATACCGCAGCGACCGCTCGGCTGAGAGCGAGATCTTGAACGCTCGGTGAGTTTTGCACGCCTTGGATCTATCGGGGACTACTTCCTCTGGGTTCTCGGGCTGCCGGCTGCTCGACGATCACGCTGGAACCGTCGCACAAGTTTGGGAACTCGCGGAGATCGACTCGGAATTAGTCGTTGGCGATCGATCGGAGAGAAGATCGAGCGGGCTGAAGTTTCGAGGTAGATATAGGGGATACTTGTTTAGATTGCGAACACGGTTCCAGCGTGAATTTTTCGAGTCGCTCGGCAAAGATTGATTCTAATGCTCCATTCCAACATGCTCGATGTTTGAACTGCTCCCAAAGCGGCACGCACGTACGCGCCCGACGCAAACTATCGGAGCGCGCACGATAAACGCGAGTCGCATTCGAATATACGCTCCGATCGCGTGTTACCGAATGCTAATCCGCGGCCGATTGAGTTTTCGCATCGACTGCCGTGAACTTTGGCAACCGGTCGATTTCCCGCAGACGAGGCGTTCGATTTTACTCGAATCGTCGCATATCTTAGCCATCTACTCTATATTCACTTGCATCGTCACGATCGCGTCCCGTATATCTACGATCTTACTGCATCTCGCCGGCTATAAATAAACTAGTTAAATCATTCATCGCGGTATATGTATACCGAACGTCTCGGACACCAGGCTCTCACTATCGGAATCAATTCGAATTGAGGAACGTTACCGCATGGGAGAAAAGGTAGAGGTGACTCTCGTGTAACAAACCCATTAGTCTCCTAAGAACGGAAAGTATTCTACACTTACGAACATTTCACATGTTTGCCTTTCAATATCGTGTCGCAACGAACACTTCCTCCAAGAATCGCAGAATCTGAAATTCATTCTCTACTTCTCATTAAAATCAAGATTATTCTTCTCCAAAACCTACTGAAATTCTCTTTCACTCTTACAAATACAAACAATGAAGCTCCAAAATTCCATAAGCACATACCAGCAAAAGTCATTTTATTATTCTTACAGTCATTCTTGTAACACCTACAATTAACCCTTTGCACTCGAGACCCTTTCAGTCACCTGATTCGACGCAGCAAACTTATAAAATTTTCAGTTCAATATTAAACCGTGTGCAACGTACCAACGCATGAAATATCGAAATAAAATAGTTGTCCCTTAATTTCTATAAGATAAGCAATCGCGTTAGTTGCGAAATATTTGTAACGAAAAATATTGTCGAGTGCAAAGGTTCAACACGTTCAATATTCCACTAGCTCACTTCTAAACTAATTACCCATACCACACAACCCTCTCCAATAAACAAACCTAAAACATCGATCCACTAAGGGTAACCCGTCCGCTCCAAAGCACCCCATTCAATGATCAAAAGCACAATTTCATCACTCAAGAATCGAATTCAGCACTCAAACTAAATTAAAAACCAATCGCAAACTCTCCAGGTCCCTACATCTCCAAAAAGTCAACCTATACTTCCAACAATCAAAACTCTCGATCAATCAAAATCAGCGTTACCCCAATTCCGGCGACACGTTCATCGAACCCCGTACAGGTGTTCCGTACACCGAAGAAACGCGTGATCCGATCGGCGTTCCCATCAGCGCGCAGCATTCCTCGTTTGCAGGGAATCTAGGTTGGCGGCGGACATTTTATTTCCCCGGGTTTCGAGAGAAGGATGACTCGAGGGCTCGAGATTAGATTGCGCGGAGTTCGAATGCCGGCCGCGGGGAGCGGCGGCGGGCTCCCGTTCCACGGGAATTGTCCGTCGCGGGAATCGTCCGCGGTTAATAGGGAATTTCGCTCGGCCGGGAACCGGAGGCGGGTCCCGTGTTTACCCGAGGTTCCTCTCGCGGGGAGACCGACGACTCCGGACGAAACTAGATTCCGGCTCGGTATAAATACCGGGAGTCGCGTCGTAAACGCTGCGCCGGCACCGGTCACCGGGGGAACCGCGTTCTCTCTTTCTCTCTTTCTCTTTCTGTCTCTCGCGTTCTGTCTTTCTCTCGGCAATTCCAGAGAATTATCGACGGATGCTCGCGAATAAAAACGAGCAGCGCAGCGCGACCGCGGCCATGTTCCGAGAGCGTTGCGCGCGGAAGATAATCTCGATTTCGTCATACACCGCGTGCCGCCGCCATCTTCCCCTCTTCTGCCCCCCGCCGTTGCTCCCTTTTCCTTCGATCCTTCTTCCCCGTGCATCCGATGCACGCGGAAACGACGCGGTTTCCTCGCCTCGGGTCGCGTTCTTGTTTACGCGATTTTTCCGTGTTTTTCGCGGACGCGTTCTCTCGCTCGCTTTTTGCCGGACTCGCGATATTTGTGATTGGTTGGAGTTTCATGGGAGTATCGGGATGGTCGATTTTAGAGTTGATTGGCTTGTTGACTCGTCGAGTTAGGGATGTTGGTTTTGAAGGGAAGTTGGAGTTTGAGTTATTGTGGTTTCGTTTGGGGAATTGAGTGTTACTTTAGGATTGATTAGCACTTCAGATGGTTTTGTAATTTATCAACTGCGAATTTTTATGGTACTTCTGGTGGAAGTGAAATATAACATTCCTTCGGGCTTTTATTTTCCTTCTCAGTAGACAGTTTGGAAAATCGAATAATTTTATGGTAGTTTCTTTGATTCGTTGAAATATTTGATATAACTGGTGCAGTATTGGAGCCTATAGAGTTCAAAGGGTTAATATTTGGAGAGAACGTGGAACTAAATTGAAATTTGTTCTTTTCCCGAGTAATTGTTGAGGTGGGTGTATTGGTGATTGAGGAGTCAATTATATGGCGAAGGGTTAATTTCAGATTAAAGCGATTCAATGGTACAATTCTATATTACATTTTGTTTGTTTTGCATTGTAGTTTGTTAAGTTAGATCTATGTAAGGTTCCAAGGTAATTTATTTTATTGGTCGATAGTTCTAACGTTAAGCTTCACGTTTGACGTTGCTGATTCGAATTTTTTATTCTAACGTCGATGTTAATTATTCGATATTTCCTTATCTCAGTTCGAGCTTGTTTATGCGATTCCTGGTTTCCTCGATTGTTACGCATTGTTTATCCTTCTGTCCTTTTTCCTTTGGCTTCCTCGCGTTTATATATTCATCTTCTTCGTTCTCTTTCCGTCTCTTCCCGTCAGGCTTTTCTGTCTTTCTCTCTCCGGCTGTTCGCCGATGTCGCAACAAATCTGTTGACGCGGATCGGAGCGCAACAAACGGTACACCGAGCGTTTCGGAACGCGTGTTCCCTGCCAAAGGCTGATTCACGTGTCTTACTCATAAGACCGCCGAATAATAACGTGTTGCGCTGACTCGACAAACAACGCTGGTAGGGTGAATCGAGGACATTCTCGGTTATACCTCTGACTAAAGGGTGCGCTTCGTGTCTCGTTTCAATTATTAGAAAGACAGACGTAAAGAATTGATTCAGCAACGCGAAAACTGAATTGTAAATCAGAGTCTCTGTAAAAGTATCTCGAAACATCGATTTAACACGGTGAGCTCAACCAAATCGATTTACTATAACTCATTCGATTAACCAGTGTGGAATTTAGTTTGACGAATCTCTCATTGTCGCAATGAAATCAAATAATGAAGTGTGTACTCGTTAAATACGAAGAATTACATGTTCGTCTCAAAAAATAAATAATCGTTGAAAAAGTTAACACCATTAAGAGTTTGAAGATGACGTGTATACTCGTTAACAGTTAACTGGTTAAATGGTTATTTGAAAACTTTTCTATATCATAAGTAACACCCAATACAGTGACATTCAAGGTAAACTTACAATAATAAGAACGTAATTCAATTACATAAGCTGATATACATTATTTTCATTTTCGAAATATTATTTTGTAAATGTCTACACCGATTTCGATTGATCACACTGACATGTACCCCAATTACTATCAAATCTCCAGTTTCCACAATCTAAGTAAACGAGCATCAATTCTTTTAGGAATAATAGAACGAAGTGTACAATTTTGTTCAAGTGTAAACCTAGCGTTAACCGGTCGTTTCAGCGTCGAGACGACCCAACATCCAAATGTTGTTCGCGTCGAGGCAGCTCGAGCCTCGAGGACACGGGTCATTTACGTCCGGCGTCCTTCGATCGCGCCGGCTTCGCTCGAATCGCGCGAAAATTGCGCGAAACGCGGAAACAACACAGACCGATACTCCGTCGACGAGCGCGCTTCCGTTCCGCGAAGTAAGCCGAAGCAGATAATCTTTATCAGAGGCTCGCGCGTACGTTCTCGAACGTTTCGCCGCGATCGAAAGCCTGCCCGGCTGAATATTTATAAACCTTGTGAATATTTATCGCGAGACCGCGACGGTCCGCCGTTTGATCGAGAATTTTGTACCCGCGGATCACCTCGGGAACACGTGGCCGCGGCGAGCACGAGGCGAAACTGTTTATCGGCCGATCTTTGGAACACCGAGCTAGATTCCCGCGCGATTCCCGTTCGCCACTTTGTAGCCAATAACCGGCCGGAAGGGGATTAATTGCACATCTCGATTTCGCTCGGCCATGAATCCAAGACTGACGGCTAAGCGAAATGACGTTATAATTATCTTCGTTGCGCGGCGAACGAATTAACTGCTCGCGGTTTGGTAATAATCAGCCGAACAGTGCTCCCGATACAATTCATTTCCGTCCGCGTAAATCGCGCAGGGTTGCAACAGCGATACGGTGCTCGGCCACCTGTAACGGCGTTAGAAGCGCTCTGATAGGAACGTGAGTCGATGTTATATGGACAGTTCTGTGAATCGATGATTAACCCTTTGCACTCCGAAGTTTTTCGATAGGAATATTTCAACAGTTTCTGATGAGATGAAGACGATATTTTGTAAAACCAACTCGACGAGAAATTATAATAATAATAATATTAAATATCGAACTTTATAGCTTCACTGTGGGAAATCATATGGTGACCGAGAGTCATCTCCTGAGCGCACAAAAGGTTAACAATTTTGTTCGTCTAACGTAACCGCGAGATAGATCGGATCAAGTTTGCGCCCTGTAACTTATCGAATGAAACTT